AATAGCCCCATAGTGTCCAGGGATGTGCAGGTTAGGGTGGATTGGCCATGCTAAATTGTCCCATAGTGCCCAGGGATGTGCAGGTTAGTGTGGATTGGCCGTGCTAAATTGTCCCATACTGTCCAGGGATGTGCGGGTTAGGGTGGATTGGCCGTGCTAAATTGTCCCATAGTGCCCAGGGATGTGCGGGTTAGGGTGGATTGGCCATGGGAAATTGTCCCAAATGTCCAGGGATGTGCAGGTTAGGGTGGAATGGCCGTGCTAAATTGTCCCATAGTGTCCAGGGATGTGCGGGTTAGGGTGGATTGGCCGTGCTAAATTGTCCCGTAGTGCCCAGGGATGTGCGGGTTAGGGTGGATTGGCCGTGCTAAATTGTCCCGTAGTGCCCAGGGATGTGCGGGTTAGGGTGGATTGGCCGTGCTAAATTGTCCCATAGTGTCCAGGGATGTGCAGGTTAGGGTGGAATGGCCGTGCTAAATTGTCCCATAGTGTCCCAGGGATGTGCGGGTTAGGGTGGATTGGCCATGGGAAAATGTCCCAAATGTCCAGGGATGTGCAGGTTAGGGTGGAATGGCCGTACTAAATTGCCCCATAGTGTCCCAGGGATGTGCGGGTTAGGGTGGAATGGCTGTGCTAAATTGTCCCATAGTGCCCAGGGATGTCCAGGTTCGGGTGGATTGGCCGTGCTAAATTGTCCCATAGTGCCCAGGGATGGGTGAGTTAGCCATAGGTTTGGTTATGGGGGAGGTATGCTCTTCAGAGGGTTAGTGCAGACTCAATGGTCTGCTCCCACACTTTAAGGATTGTATGACTTTAGGGATTGTGTGATAAGATCACCCCTCAGCCTCTGACACTCCAGGGAAGAAAGTTCCAGTCTCTCCCTGTAACTCCAATCCTGTCAAACGACAGTGAGAACTGCCGATGCTGGAGTTAGAGATAACACAGTGTGGAGCTGGAGGGACACAGCAGGCCAGGCAGCATCAGAGAAGCAGGAGAGTCGACGTTTCAGGTCGGGACCCTTCTTCAGAATTTCGACGTCAACTTGCCTACTCGTCTGATGCTGCCTGGCCCTGCTGCGTTCCTCCAGCTCCGCGCTGCGTGTCATTTCAACATCCCCGATGTTTAAAAACCGAAAGAACTGCGGATGCTGTAAATCAGGAACAAAAACAAAGTTGCTGGAAAAGCCCAACAGGTCTGGCATCATCTGTGAAGGTGAACAACAGAGTTAACGTTTCGGGTCCGGTTATGTTCTGAAGAAGGGTCACTGGACCCGAAACGTTAACTTTGTTTTTTTTAACCCTTCACAGATGCTGCCAGACCTGCTGAGCTTTTCCAGCAACTTTGTTTTTTATCCCTGTCAATTTGTCCTTCACCTTCTCCTATAGAACAGTACAGCACAGTACAGGCCGTTTGGCCCACGATGTTGTGCCGACCAACTACACGATCAAACTGACCTGCATACCCTACGTTTTACTATCCTCTGTTGTCCTTTTCTGTTTCTCCCCCACCACCACCGCTCTAGGTTGAGAAAGTGATGGCGAAGGAGACCTTTTACTTCTCGATCTTGCGAAACCCGGTGACCCTGGCCGAGTCGTCCTTTACCTATTACAAAGGAACGAGTGCGGCCTTCAAGAAGGTAGACTCGCTGGAGCAGTTCCTGAGGGACCCGTGGAGATATTACTCGGCCAGGGAACGGGGCAACCAGTACGCCAGGAACCTGATGTGGTTCGACTTTGGCTTTGACCACAACTCCAACGACACAGCAGACTACGTGGAGCTGGTCCTCAAGGAGATCAGGAGCACCTTCCACCTCATCCTGCTTTCGGAATACTTTGACGAGTCCATGATCCTCCTGAAGGACGCCCTGTGCTGGGAGTTCGACGACGTCGTCTCCTTCAAGCTGAACTTCCGCAGCGACGTGACGGTGAGGAGGCTCTCGGAGGAGGCCGTGAGACGGGTGAAGGCCTGGAACGCGTTGGACTGGAAGCTCTACCTTCACTTCAACCACACCTTCTGGCAGAAGGTGGAAAGCTACGGCCAGCAGAGGATGAGGAGCGACGTCCGTGTCTTGCGGGAGAAGCGGAGGAAGCTGATGGACCTGTGTCTCCAAGGGAGCAAGCCTGTGGAGGCCAGTCAAATCCAGGACAAGAACATTAAGCCCTTCCAGTACGGCCGGGCCCAGATCATGGGTTACAACCTGAATTCGAACCTGGACAACAGCACCAGGGAGAAATGCTTACGGATGGTCATGCCTGAGCTCCAGTACAAGGACCTACTCGATGCCAAGCTGTTCCCGCCGACTCCCACCACCAAAAGTCAGCAGCAGCTGGAGGTACATTTCTGAGGAGAGGGGAAGGATGGACCGCTCCTTTTGCCCAACGGAGAAGAAAAAAAAGTCTCGCTCTGCCCGTTCGAGTCGGGCTGAGAGAAATCTCCAGGAAAGTCACTTTTCTCGCTGCCACTTCCATAATGCCCCTGGGGAGGGGTGCCATACGCCAATTCTCAGCCTCCGTCCGATCTAAGGTTTCATCTTTCGGTGTTGTCGGGGTGGGGTGGGGTGGGGGGAAGGTTAAAGGATGACGCGCGGTCAAAGGCTTCCATCTTGAATTCGTCAGGATGGGAATGCCAGGGAAACGGCAGACGCGCAGAAGGGCAATTTGTCAGGCGGGTGTAGAGCGCGGCGCGCTTTACCCTCACCAGAAACTTCTGTACCCTCACGTGTAGGCCTCTCTCCACCGTCCCCATGTTCTGGTGCCCAGGACGCTTTACTCAGAGGGTGGCGCCGCCTATGGAATTCTCAGAGAGCGGCTGAGGCCAAAAAGTGTTTCTGAGAAGGAGTTAGATATGGTTCTCAGGATCAAAGTTGGGGGCGGGGGTGGTGAGAGAAGACAGGAAATGGGGCTGTTGGGGGGACGGTGCTGAATTGGATGGTCAGCTGTGAATGGGGCTCCTCGTACGATCCCCACAGTGTGGGAAGAGGCCATTCAGCCCATTACCAGTCAGCATCTCACCCCACCGACCTACCCTGTGTGCTTTGGAGGGTTAACCGTGGGAAGCACAGAGATGGGGTGGGTCTGGGTGAGACACCCTTCAGAGGGTTGGTATGGCCTGCTTCCACAGTGTAGGGATTCTCTGAACAGTCTGGCCCTAATTCTCAGACTCTGCCCCCTAGTTCTACAATCCCTAACCAGTGGAAATCATTTATCTTTATTTACCCTGCCTTTTTTTCTCCTGTTAAGGTATTAAAGACTTCAATCAGATCACCCCCAAACCTTCTAAATTCTAGAGAAAAAAGGCCTAATTTGTATAACCTTTCGTCACAGTGTAGTGACCATCTTATATTTTGGTATCTTCCACAAATGGCCAAAACACTATGTCTACCTTATTCAGCCCCTTCATAATCTCTTAAAGATCTCAGTTTGGGTCACCTTGTTGCATTTTCCTTTCTGAAGTTGCTGCCCAGTTCTATACAAGAGTTCTAAAGTCCGTCACCACAGCAGAAATCTTTTATTTATTCATTCACGGGATGAGGGTGTCACTGGCTAGGCCCAGCATTTATTGCCCATCCCTAATTGCCCCAGAGGACAATTAAGAGTCAACCACATTGCTGTGGTTCTGGAGTCACGTGTAGGCCAGACCAGGTAAGGATGGCAGTTTCCTTCCATAAAGAACATGTGTAAACCAGATGGGATTTTCCCCCAACGATGGATTCATGGTCATCATTAATTCCAGATATTTATTGAAATTAAATTCTACCATCTGCTATGGCAGGATTTGAACCTGGGTCCCCAGAACATGACCTGGGTCTCCAGATTAACAGTTCAGCAACAAGACCACTAGGCCGTCATTTCTCCTATAATTATGACGTTGTGACGTGGAGGTGCTGGAGTTGGACTGGAGTGTCTGAAGACACCAGGCGATAGTCCAACAGGTTCATTTGAAAACACAAGCTTTCGGAGCGCTGCTCCAATCATTAGGTTGAAGAAGCATCTCCTTTGTAGGATACAAGGTATCTTAAAGCTTTCTGCACTTGCATTTTCATCTTTGGGGAAAAAAAGGACTGACCCTGAACTACATTCCGAAACTAGAGGGGTTTGAGTGGAAATCCATGGCAAAGCCTCGTCCAATCAGAGTTGACTTGCCCAACCAATCAGCACCCTTTTCTCAAGCAATATAAATTATTGCTCCCCTTGAAATTTGGCATTCTTGCGTGGGTCCTGATGACGACAAGATTTGTCTTTTCTTTCAGTAAAATTTGAGTTCTTCACTCTCAAGGCAATCGTTCTTTGAAAACTGGGGGAACCTTACAGAGCTGATGTAAGCGAGTATTATGTACAGATATACAAAACAGAAGAGATTTTACTTGGAATGTTCTGCTTAAGTAAAGTGTAGATTCCTCTTGGAAGTCTCAAAGTGTTAAAACCTGAGTGAATGTGAATTTTAATAAGAGCGTGCGTGAACAAGATGGTGAAGTTGGGAAAGAAAAATGTTTTTGGTTTGAATGCAAAAAAAGAACTTTTTTTTTGTGGGGTGATGCTCCTCTGAAGCAATTTCTGGATGTCTTTTTTTTGTATGCGAAAGGCACTATATAAATGCAAGTTGTCCTATTTATTTCTGTACAGTTATACTAATATGGATGTTTTGATCTTAGTTCTGATTCTGTGCTTGGTACTGGATTGTGGGTCAAAATCCTGCAGTTCTCTCTCTCTCTCTCTCTCTCACTGCCCTGTGTGGGCGTCCTTTCACCACATAGTCCTTGGCATTTCAAGATGGCCACTTACCTCAGTCTTCGTGTCAGCATTTAGCGAAAGGGTGAACAAATGGCAGCTTGGCCAGCGACGTCCACCTTCACGAAAGAGAGAAAAGACGTCATAGAAAGGAACGCACTTTTCAGTCCTCTGAGAGATCGAAGTTCAAGTGATTTTAAAAAAAAACACAAAGATTTTGTAAAATCTCAATGAGTACATCAACATCTGCAGAGAGAAAGGTATGGAGTTATGGGTAACCTTTTATCAGAACCGAGGTGGGGGGCGGGGGGGGGGTAGTGGGGAGTATCAAGACTGGACAGATGTTGTAAGCAGGTAAAAAGCAAAAACTGCGGAGGCTGTAAATCAGAAACAAAAACAGAAGTTGCTGGAAAGGCTCAGCAGCGTCTGTGGAGAGAAATCAGCTAACGTTTCGGGTCAAGTTCTGCGGAAGGGTCACTGGACCCGAAACGTTAACTCTGATCTCTCTCCGCAGGTGCTGCCAGAGCTGCTGAGCTTTTCCAGCAATTTCTGTTTTAAGCTAGTGCCTGGCTTCTCTCTACCTTGCTCACTCTGGGGGAGCGACCTCCACATTTTTGCAGCTCCTCTTGAGTTTCTCCTTCGGGTTTGTTAACGACTATTAAAACCTGGTCATCCAGGTCCAGCCTCATGTGAGAGCATCTCAAGGTTGACCCAAATCGATCTGCATTTATAATTTGGAAGAACTTAATCAGGTTGGAAGCATAGAATCCTTCAGGGTGTGGAAAGAGGGGCTTTGGGTCCATTGAGTCTGGACTGACCCTCCGAAGAGCATCCCACCCAGCTCCCTTCCCTATAACCCTGCATTTCCCAATCCACCCTAACCTGCACATCCCTGGACACGATGGGACAATTTAGCACGGCCAATCCACCCTAACCTGCACATCCCTGGGCACTATGGGGCAATTTAGCACGGCCAATCCACCCTAACCTGCATATCCCTGGACACGATGGGGCAATTTAGTACGGCCAATCCACCCTAACCTGCACATCCCTGGGCTGTGGGAGGAAACCCACACAGACAGTCACCTGAGGGTGGATTTGAACCCGGGTCCCTGGTGCTGTGAGGCAGCAGTGCTAACCACTGAGCCACCATCCCTGGCTCCCTGTGGCAACATGCACTTTTTACATCACATGCACTAGCTTGTGGATGGTGATGGTTGAGACTCCCAACTCCTTTTAATCATATTTCCCTCATCCCACTCTTCCTTCCTGCCATTGGTGCGTGCTGGAAGGATTTAAAAGTCAATTTGCAAACTATTTTATGGAGACACCTTCCTTTTTTAATAATTCGTTCACAGGATGAGGGCGTCACTGACTAGGCCCAGCATTTATTGCCCAGAGGGCAGTTCAAAGTCAACCACATTGGCTGTGGGTCTGGAGTCACATGTAGGCTAGGTAAGGATGGAAGTTTCCTTCCCTAAAGAACCAGATGGATTTTTCCCACTAATAGCCATCATTAGACTCCTAATTCCATTATTTTTAAACATTGATTTCAAATTCCACCACCTACCATAGCTGGGATTTGAACCTGGATCCCCAGGGTATATAGCTGGGTCTCTGGTTTAACAGCTCAGAAACAATACCACTAGGCCGTCAATCCCCTCCTTGGCCAGCAACTCCTGGTGTAGGACTTGATCCCCAAACATCTGCCCTGGAGGCAGAGATAGCACCCACTACAGCCCAGGAACATTTTCTCCTGAGAGCTCTAACCTCTGTGGGACCATTCTCGTAAAAAGTTACATTGCATCCTGTTATAATAAAATCAAGACCAGACCATTTAGTGCGAAGGATAGACAAAGACTATAATTACTAAGTGTGACCTTACCTTTGCTGAAGGTGGGGAGTTCCCTGTATAATTGTAATCTTCCCAATTTTGCCTCAAATGCGTTCTGTGATGTAACAGCTCCTGAGAAATCAGGCTAGGATTGTCTCACAATCCCCAGCGAACGCAAGTAAAGTTGACAACTTGATTTGATTTGATTTATTGCATCGAGACACAGTGAAAAGCATTGTTTTGCATGCTAACCAGACATATCACACCTGACATAAGTACATCAGGGTAATAGAACAGAATGCAGAATAGCCTGACAGCTGCAGAGAAAGATCAACTTTAATATATGACACTGATAACAGAGGGGAAGAAGCTGTTCTTGAATCTGTTGGTAGGTGTTTGTACCTACTGCCCAATGGAAGGGAGTATAACCAGGGTGGGAGGCATCTTTGATTATGTTGGTTTGTTGAAGCAGTGGGAAGTGTTGACAATGGAAGGAAGGCTGGTTTGCATGATGGACTGGGATAGAGCAATGGTACATATTTTGTTTAAGGACCTATCATTAATATTATAAATGCATGCCTCAGACTGCACAATAACAACTTAAATCGAGTGTACATTTGTAGCGTTTGTTATCTGTTTGAACACACTCTCTATACTGGAGAAGAAAACTCATTCGAACGAGACAAAGCAGGGATCCTATTAATGCTCATTGTACAAAGACTAAATTATGTCTTTTGGAGAAATGTGTCAGGGATACTTTTATAATTTGAATTAAATTTCACTTGCATAGATGCAAATTCATTTAACAATTGTTTTTAATCCAGGTATGTAAGACAAGTGTTCTGGCACTGCCTTTACTGTGGAAAATTGCAACAAAGAGACATGTTAATTTATTAAAATAATATGAATCATAACCTCAAGAATGTGTCTTTGTTATTTTGCTAACCATTTAGGTCTTTGATAGGATTGT